AGGGGCCCCCCAGGGCAAAAATCGGGCCCGCCTCTGGCCAAGGCCAGGCCAGTCAGTGCCTCTTCCATAAATATATTTAGGAGAGGAAAAACCCATTGGGCAAGTTCTTTGGTTTTGGAGAGGAGCGGCATGTAAGAGGAACAATCATGCAGATGAAAACTGTTTGGTTTTGACATGTGATTCCTCTTATAACAAAGCTAGTGCATTCTATAATACATGTGTGTATATACATATGTATACATACTAGTATTTCATATATATATGTGTACATGTATATTTCCAGCCTTGGTTCAGAGCTTACTTAACTCATGAAGCGTTTCTTTATGCACTACTAAAACAAGCTCTTCACACTCCTATTACTGCTTATTATCCAACCACAGGTTTCTTCAGTTTATATTCCATCTGTTGTAGTCTGGCACCTAAATATGGGTCTTCAGGGCAAGCCAATAAACAGGCAGTGAAAGGGCACTGCAGCCCATGATCAGGCATACAAGCTGCAGCTGAACCCCCAATATCTGAACACTTTGTTCACAGACAGCTCATGCTGCCCACTAATTCTGTTTGTCGTTTGTAACCATTTGCATGTGATGCAACCAGTACCTGAATAAACGATGCTATAACCGTAACACAGATGAATACTTTTTAGGACTACGAACCTGAAATGTGCTGTTTGTAACAAAACTAAACCAGTCTGAGAAATTGTGTTTCCTCTGTTCTTACTGGGATAACAACTTACCATGTGAACGACGCCAGTCACGCCAACAACTTCCAGCAGGCCATCATCGATGCGTGGTTTCTCAAAGCGGTTATCACTCTCAGACCCCCAGAGATCAGCTCCAGAACCCCAGCTGCACAGGGAGCACACCACAGTGACTGCCCATGGACTTGCCGTCTGCCCCAGAGCACCCTGCCCCGTGCCCTGCCAGGGACAGCTGGTTTGACAGACTTCAAAAGCTAAACCCATCAGCTGGAGGAGACAACACAGCTTTCCTTTGCTGTAAGACCAGGAAGTGTTTCCCAAAAACTGGAAGGCTTCTGACCAGGTCTTTTAGGAGTGAAAGAAGGAGTGAAGTGGTTTCCATTTGTAAGAAAAGGAGTAGATACAAAAAAAGTCACTCCAAAGAGTTTTAGTTTTCTGGGAAATACAGGTCACAGCTGCACTAACCCTAACTTCCAGCACTTAAGAACTTAGCATAGATCTTGCAGGTCTGGACAATATTCATGGGAGCTACTGATGAGAAACTAAAGCTACGAGCATGAAGTTTTTATTCTTGTACCTGGCCAGACTCACTTGTAGTTAAGCAGGTATTCCTGCACTTCAGTCCTTTGAAATGCTTCTCAAAATTTAACACTGTGTGGGGTTTTGTGCAGCACTGACCCTTCTTACTCAAATCCCTTGCTAATTGTTTCAGTGCACTGACAGCTCAGTACTAATTGTGACCTTCGCTTCTCCACAGTTCTCATGTGCAACATATACTTGTGTTTGTGTCCACAGGCAGATATGTGTGTGTACACATAAATATATACATGTGAATAAAAAGTCAAAACATTTTCAGACTAAAATGGAAAAAGACACAAGTATTTTGAGATAAGTGTGCTTGAAAAAGAAATAGTACGGTAGCACTAATTACCTGCTGGTTTTGTGCAAACAAAATAAGCTGCCTGTACCAACCGCACATCTAAGGAAGTCAGATTCCCTGCAGGTTTGCCTTCCTTCCTTCCACAGCAGTATCTCTAGCTCCCTGCAGGTGTCAGAGCAGCCCCTGCAGCCCTCTAAAGGTATCTGAACTGTGGGTTTTTCACAGCTACCCGGGCAGCACCACCGCCTCTAGGTATACTGATGAGCTGGCTATAGGACCAGTGCTTGACAATTGAATCCTGGCTGGCCTCCACTGCGGGAACTGCTTAGGCAACTGCTCTCCGGCATGCCAGAAAGCATCTGCAAGTTGATCATCTTTGATCCTTCTACAAGTTACACCTATATCCGGTGAACTCGTTCAGACAGTTTAGGGGAGGTGGAAAATGGTAATAGACAGAAGCCACAGGCCACAGCCACTCATCAAAAATTGTATTTTACCACAAAACTGGTGCAAAGGAAGTCTGAAGACCTTTGGCTAGGAAATCATTGCAAATTAGGACAAAGAAGCAGCAACTGTGTGGAGCTTTGCACTGGGAAAATGAAACACTGCCACCTTTAGGTGGAGTGAGATTACAAGGATCAGAGAAATTATTTCAAAATGGTATTATGAGCAAGGTTTTTAGGCACAGCTGCAAAGCCAGAAAGTCGGGCAATCATCAAAAATACCTAGTAACAACCATCTCTTAATCTAGAGCATTTAATATTTTATTTAACCATTTGACACTCAAATACCAGGTGGCATTTCCACACACACACATCCAGACATGCATCCACACAGGATCCTTCCTCTCTTTTTTACCTGGGTATATTAATAAAAATGAGTCCCTCTATGCTTGGTAATTCCACCTCGTGCTGGTCCACTTGAAGCTTTATGTCTTTGTGAAGATTTCTGGTATGACTTATCTTCTGCAGCCCAACTTTCACATAAACACCTTTGTTGTGAAATCTAGGAGCAGATAAGCATCTTTCAGCCAAAAGGTGAGGCACAGCATAGCACAGCACTCTTCCTTGTACCTCTACCAGTATTCTGTCTAGCAGGTATATTTAAAGAGTTTTTCAATTCAAACACTCTCCAAATTCTTCTAGCTTTACTGCAGAAACAAAGGAGAAGCCATCAACTGCTACTACTTTATATAACTTTGACTTAATGGATGATTTATGCTGTCAAGGCATGTGGAGATCTGTGAACTTTTACTACAGAAAAATCACTTAGTCTTAAAGCATTGCCTCAATGCAATACCTCTTTGAAATGTAAACTTCTGTGCTGTAAAACTGCATATTTAATTAAGATTTAGAGGTCTCCATGAAACATTTTAAAATGTTTTCTAAAGCAATGCTAGAATAATTAAGGCATAAAAACCTTTGTGATTCTTTGCTTTACGTATCACTAATTGATTTGAAATATACTAAGCTGTAGAAACTTAAAACATGCTTAGTAATGTTAACCTGCAATGGATCGCTAACATCGCTAATTTTAGAGTAAAAAAAGATGAGGAAGATTTTATGGCATCCTTAGAAAAGTCAGAATATTTTAGGAACAACATAAACAAATGCTAGTTAATGGAAACTTCTGGATACATGGCCTTCAGGGCAACCTTAAAATAAAAAGCATAAATTTCCGTTATTTGACCCTACTAGTACATGGGTGTCATTAGAATCCAACACTGCAAAAACTTTCTAGCATTATATTTAAAGGTGGAAAGACAGGCAGTTCAGCGTGTGAGTTATAGTCACCTCTTCAGACAGAGACTGCTCAGCTTGTTTAAATTATTACAGTGGGAATGGTTAATCCTACATGCTAACAGTTTCAAACAGCACTGAATTAAAAGTACCTGATGTAACACCATTTAACATACGCTTAACACATGCTTCTACTCCAGACAAGACAATAATATGTGTCTATGCTAAGACAAGTTTTGTGCAATTTAGACACAACTAGAAAAAAACTGGATTTTGTTAGGAAGCACAACACATGAAATCTATCCATGTATGATTTTTCTGTTGTATGAAGAAGGAAGCCTGAAGAAACTAAAAGAACAGGACATAATGCCATAACTACAGACACAGTCCTCAGTTACATGACTTGTAGGAAACACTTAGGGACCACATGATCCAGAGTTGCTGGATACGGCACCCTGCGATGCACAACTAACGTAAGTCTCCCAGAGATTAAATCCTGTCGCTCCACTCTTACATATATATTTCATTCCATTCATGTGTCTTATTAGGACACTAAGACCAAAGAAGAACAAACTAATTTCTGTAACACTACCATGCCAATTCCTACCCAATGGTTTTGAAGATGACTGCAAGATTTTATGATTAAAACTGGCCAGCCAAGCTTGGAAGGGTGACCTTTTCACATCCACCACTATAGAGAATCACCACTCTTCTTCGCGCCTGTACAATGTAGGGCGTGATTTGGGGAGAAAGTGCCAGTGGAAGTCACCAGTCTACTGTGAGCGGTAGCCAATAACATACTTGCCTGCCCACCTGGGTAGAAAGAATAAGCATCTCCTAAAGCAAACCCTTGGTTCAACACGTTTTGCAGGCAGTGTTTCCCCATGGTTAACTGGCAGGGCAGGGAGGAAGAAGCTCCTCCCTGTCGGAGCAGTTTCCAACACCTTATCTGCGCTGAAGCACATCAAAGTTTGCAATAGGTGAGACACACATGGCCGTCACTGCTGTAAATGACACTGACGGGGATGAGAGAGGGGCAGGGGGTTACGTGCAGCTTGTCCATCCCCACGGAGCCAGTGAGTCCTTGCATCAGCTTGGCAGCAACACTTGCATCATTATGTCACCCCAGAACTATCCAAAAGCTTCTCTGGAGTACAGATATGGAAGTAACAGTAGTGGTCTGGTGAGTTTGGGATTTGACCTACACAGCTCAAGAATCACCCTTGGGTTTGTTTTTCTACAAATGATGCACAAGTACAGCCAACATGCACATACTACCATGGGCTACACCCTCTTCCTCAGGGGCATTCAGAAAGCTGGGCTGACTCTTCAGTCTAGCCAACTGAATATTTCAGAACAGATGAAGTTAAAAGGTGAACCTATACAGGACCAGTTTAATGGATTATGAAAGTAAACAAGTGGTTTTAAGTATGGCAATCCTGTATTTGTCCTCGATGAAGCAAATTGAAAAACACCCTTTATTCTTACCAAGTCTCCTTAGACTCAGGAAGACACCATAGCATCCACTGACACTGTAATCATCTCTGTGGGCACTGCCCAAGCAGCAAGCACCTCCAGTAGCCTGCAGAGGCAAGCCCATCAGTAACCGCCTTCAAAGCTTTCATGAAAACACAATAAAGAAGCCACTCCTCAGGCCAGACTTTTCATAGCTCCTGCCAGCTGCCGCACACCTAGAAGGGAAGGTTTGGGTAATGCTTTTTTAACGGTGATGGGGAAGAAATCCGGGTGTCAGGCCTTTTTAAATGAACGGCAGTTTCCCGTGAGCACAGCTAGGGAACATCGCTCAGATGCAAACCTCTCAGAACTGCAGCACACAGGACAGAAAGCTGTCAAGCGAATCAAAACGACCGCCTTTTACCTAGTCCTGCAATTCGACAAGCCCACCAACGGGGGGAGGAACCACCCCTGCAAAAGCTAAGAGCTCTGACCAATAATTAGATTCTAGTGGGCTGTTTTTAGTAGGGCGCTCTAACGAACCCGGAAAGAACTTTATCAGGTTCACATACACAGGACCCAAGATGGAAGAACACCTGCTAAGACAGTGGCTGCTGTAGCTTTTTAAAGCCCACAACCAACATGCTGAACAACCAATACTTTCAAAACTTTCTCCCATCAAGAGAGAACAGTTCTATGTATCCCCATAAAACAACTCTAAAATTGCATTACATCATGCAGACTATTTTTTCTGTCCAACCTTACAGCCAAGAGACTGGCTGCCACAGCAGTCTCCTGACAATTTCAGATGGCACAAAGAAAGTGTGTTCTCTTCTGTAACAGGTAACCCTTACAACTGTTCCAGGATCCCATGGAAATGGGGAAATGAGGGAAAATGCCCCGATCCTTATGTTTCACACTCTGAAAAAAATTTCATGTAGGTTAGCACTCAACAATGTAAGAACCATCACTGGCACAACATAGGCTACTCCCCTCTGCCCTGCAATCCAAGTTCAGCACTAAATTCCCCCTGCAGGAAAGTCATCACCACACTGCCAGCTGCTCACCAAAGGCAAGGAAGGAGTCCTGAGCATGTCCGGAGGTTCTTACTGCGTGAAGCCAGAGAGCACACACCTTTCAGGACATTTACCAGCTTAAGCTCCTGATTCAAAAGAGCATTCAAGCTGAATTTTCTTTCCAGGACCACCTGCAATTTCTCCTCCCACAGCCTGTTCTGCACTCAAGAACAGCCAGTTCACAGGCCCACAGCTGTTTCATTTGGCATTAGGTAATTATGTTAATTAAGCGAAAGTAACATATATATATAAAAATATATATATAAATATATATATATATATAAAGCTAATCTTGCTGGGAAAGGGTAAAGCTAGCAATTTTAACAACCACTGTCACAGACAGCGAAAGGCAACAGTCCCGCCAGCACTGTTAGCTGCACTAGCTGTTTGTCTCCTCCAAAGTTGTAACTCAGTAACAATTCGTTATTTCATGTTCCTTCTCCCCATCCTCAATTACGGAAATAAACAGCCCTTCAGATGTACTAAAAAACCCAAAGAAACATTCAAAAAATCTCTTCCATATGCCCTTCAAGGCTTGCATGGTGTCCAAATACACATGTAATGGTGTCCAGCAATTCTTGCAGTAACGCTGCACGAATGGTATCAAGTCACAGCCTGTGGCACTGCAGGCGCCAAACGCTGTGAGCTGACTGAGATAAAGATTCAAGGCACCCAGAGCCCACACTGCAATAAAAGTCAAAGTACAACCCTCGAATGCAGTGGCAATAAGAAAATGACACACCTTTTTAAGTGCTGCAGCTTTGCAGAGTAGTGTATTTTAAAGGAAGAATTAACTCTTTATATTAATTGCACAAGTAAATCTAGAACAGTTTTACACACTAGAGCAGGCACTGCTCTATGCAGATTTATTGCTCAGTTTAACTACCTATGATGGTTTCAATTCAGTGGATTGAAAACGCAAATCAGTGCCTAATAGTAACTTGTGCACCACAAACAATATCCTGCATTATTTCCTTTTTAAGAGAAAGACACGAACAATGCCTGTAATGACAGAACACTGCAAGACAAGTGAGATTACACATCACCACACTCCTAACTGGTCCAAGAATAGTTTTAATAGGGTTTGAACACTGCTTAGCTGTAACTCTCTTTGGCAACTGAGAGACAATTAATAGGACATTTACTTACAAGCAAAGGAAAAAGCAAACAAAAACAGTTTCTACAATGAAACTAATTACATAAATGTGATTTATTTATTTTTCTCAGCAATTTCAGTGATTATGGGAAGAAGAAAAAGTACTATTACTGATTGATCTGCATGCCAGAATGGAGGGAGGTCTCTCTCCACACGTTCTTAATGACACCACCTCACTGAAGAGGTCACCCTTACGACAAGCACACAGGTGCTATCACAGCACTATGCAAGGGCGGGAAATGCACAACAAAGTCCTGAACAGTGCGTTTATTGCTCACGTAGCAGTACTGCGCTCCCTCCTGCTACAGCCTTTGACTATGAGATATTTCCACTACCCCAAAATTCCACTGAACTCAACATTGCAGTTACTGGAAATTTAGTATACTGAGTACTACTGACAGGGCGTCCAAAAACTTCTTTCATGCTCTCTCTTGTTAAGGGGAAAAAAACCCCCAACAACCAAACAAAACCCACAAATCCCGTGTCTACGAGTTCCTGGCTAACTTAATTCCCCTCTGTGCCAGCTCTGTGCCAGGCAATATTGTTTGTGGATACCTGCAACATTTCAAGATTACAAGCCACAGGGTAAGTTGGAAGTTATACAATGCCACAGAGTTTGCCCTCCACCCCTGGTTTCCCCAGGATTACCTGCTATTAAATTTCCCTGGTTCTTCTTCTCTAGCATGATGGAAGTCCAAGCTCAACTCTGCATCAATGCCAAGACCACAGTAATTGTTCATCTGTACAATCTGACAAAAAAAATTGTATTATTTTCTCCTTAAGTTTACAAATGAAGAGGTTCCAAAGTTTTTCAACACAAACAAGCTTTGCAGATGATCCTTCCAAGTCACTTATATCTTGACAGATTCTGGAAAACATTGTCCAGAAACACTGCCCTGAAAATAAAGCTGCAGGGACAACTGTTACCGCATGTAGTCATTATTTCAAAAGTATCAGAAACTTCAAAATGCAATCTTAATTGCAGATTACAAGCATAGTAAGGCAGAAATAAAAATAAACTCATAAATAAAACCAACCTAACTTCTCAAAGCAAGTCTATGCCATAACAATACAAGTTGCTGAACATTAACACCACTATTATTTTTGACACCAGCCATGAGTTTATCATGACATCCCTGGGAAGATGTTCCTCCTTACTTTGGAAGGTGACCAGATTACACCAGATGAGTGAAGAACATGCCTTCACCTACTCAGCTGCAATTCTCAAGTTTCTACAGATTCCAGCCATTTCTGCAATTAATGCATGACAGTTCTTTCCATAACTTTTCTAACCTAGCCCTTGACTCTCACATCCTTCACCTTTAAGAAACAGATTAGGCAACACAGGGCAAATCAACCCCTGTCTCCGCCAAGTGAAGAACAGCTGGAACCTGAGCAACATAAATCCTCCAACTGACACAAAATGCACAGGATTTTCCCGTGACTGGACTAAAATCTTGGACTATTGCTATGACTATTACAATTTCCAACTTTTATTTTTGCCATTCCCTTGTCCATTTTTTTGGTTTTGCCTGAAGATAAACAGAACTAGGACTCAAACAACGCTCTGAAGTCACGAGCTACAATCAACATTTTTATTTTCCTAAACCGAAACAAGTAACATGAACCAATGGACAGGGACTTTTACTCAAAAAAAAAGTTTCCAAAATAAAAAAAAATGCCACATAAACAGACATACAACTGCAGTAAAATTACAGAAGTATTTGCTTCCTGTATATGCTAGCAACTAAGACATTTTAAAAATGTTAAACAGAAGATGAGAGTACTCTTTTAGTGGCGGTGGTAGTGGTTTTTGTGGTGTTTTTCCAGTTTCAATATTGCTCTGGAAAATATCAGGCGTTCCTTCAAAATGCTGTTCTTATTTGAGAAGTAAATTTATTTCCAGCTGAAGTAAACAGGTGTGCCATTGTCACTTTAATCTTTTCATTAATCCTCTATCAGATGCTTCTTGCCAAACAGCTATGAAGTGTGTTCTGCAGCCAATCAGCCCTACCAAAAACTGAAGCACTAAATCCAGATGCATGCTGTGTTTACTAAGGAATAGCTCAGCAAGGCCCAAGCTCAAAGACAGGTGAGCAACAGGAGATTAAACTATGTTAATATCTATCTTTGTGATTTTTGCTAGACAACAGTTCCTAACAATTAAACCCAAATGGTGCTCAGCTCACCTTTGGAGGCTCTGGCTCCGCGATGCCATTCTCTGCACCTTCAGCAGGCTCTTCTGCATCCAAGAGAATAGTCCAGCGATCCATAAGAACGTCATCCGCCTCATCCACAGAAATCAAAATCGAGTAGGGGTCCTCCCCGCTGTAGCCAGCTCCCCAGCGCAAGACCCGCCCCAAGTCATTACCTGGATAACAATGAAGAACCCCAAAATATGACTGCACTTTGTAAGTTAGGTAAAAGCATCAGAAAGAGCATCAGGTCTGTGTTACAAATCAAATCAAATCAAATCGCATCAAGGTGCTCCAGACAAGTCATGGAAGTAGTTAGACTGGACTGAGAAGTTAACAAGTAGAAAAAAATATCTTAAGGGTTGTTATGGTTGCACGTGTGCTTAGTATCATATGCCGTCTGATCTGAAAAGTTTTCACAAAAAGCCATGGAAAAACCTATTACGGTGTTGAGAAGTCAAGTAATGACTGAGTTCACTGTTTTGCAGCAATGGCTGATGCACCTGTGGTTGTCGGGGGAGAATATTTTGCCCTCCACTGCCCACTCACAAACACCCACCCACGCCGACACCCCCGCTGCTTGTTTTTCATCCAGAAAGCATGACTGCCTTTTCCTTGAAAAGCTGAAACTGCACTTGCTCTTCAACACAGGCCAGAACTGAGCAACGGTATCTCTACTGTGACACTGAGTGGTTTGTCAGATGGATAAAGACAAACCTTCTGGAGAAGTTCTCGGAAGGATAGTACTCGCTGTGATTCTCACCTGTTCCTAGTGGTAAGATGGCAACGGAGGGCTCTGAGCACACCAGCTTGTGCCTGATCTCCTCCAGTGCACCAAGGACCCAGCCGACCGTGCCGTCCCCTCCGCACACCAGCACGCGGAAGGAGGGGACTTTAGAGAACGTGTGAAACCTCCATTGAGAAACAAAGCAAGGGGGAAAAGAAATGTTACAACTCAGTACAGGAAAGGCAAAGCCTCTTAATACGCTGTTTATGAAAATACTGTTACTGGATTTTCACCCTCCCCTTGCTTCACCATCACTTTCAGGATCAACAATAGAAAAATAGGAGCTTTTAGATACAGCTGTTTAAATAGGGCGCCGGTTAGCTCAGTGGTTTGAGCACGGTGCTGACAATAAGGACCAACACTGAGGTTGTGGGTTCGATTCCTGCTCGGTCCCCATGTGTTGCCTGGTCTAGTCGTGAGGTGGCATCACTGCTCATGACAGGGAGGTTGGACTAGATGTTCTCTAAGGTCCCTTCCAGCCTAGGCCATTCTGTGACTGTTAAAAGGAGTGAAAAACATATTCTTCTACAGATTTTTCAGAGCTAGAGTGAAATTGTTAATCACTTCCTTTTTCACCAAAGATAGAGAGATCTAACTATTTAGAATTTCAATGTGAACATCCATAAATCCTAGCAGAGATGCTCCCTAGTGCTGATGTGTTTGTTTGGTTTTTTTTCTTAGTCATGTGACTCATTGAAAATTTTCTTCTTCATGGTATGATCCTCTGGTCAACTCTTACCTTTCGTAGCTTTTCATCCTACATACCGAAATATCCAGCCAAGTATTTTTATTTCGCATTGCACAAGAGGCAATGAACGAGTGGAAGCATTTTGCCACAAAGCTACAGAAGGACTCCATGGTCATGACAAAACGAACGAATTACTGAAGTTGCAGCTTTAACTGCATTAAAAAGATAACAAAATTATACAGTTCTGATAAAAAACTCAGTCTGTGCACCATGTTTATCTTGCCTCCTGCATAAGCTGGGTTTCTCCCACGAAAGCTTTTGTTTTGAAGAGCTTGTCGTGACAGTTCTTTCTTACAAGCAGTGCTGAGGGAATGAGACTACTCTGAGAGGGCTACAATCATCACTTTCCGTTCTATGAAGCTGGTAACAAACTGGTGTTGAATAAATCAAGTAATAGGTTTCTGCTTTCCTACAGGCACATTATGTTCTGTTCCTAGTATTTAGAAATGTTGCAGCTGTGATCAGACAGGGCCTGTTAATTGTGCAATTGTGGCCAAGTTTCAAGAGTCAAGATAGAAAATTTTATTATACTTCCCTGTTAGTTCCCATGAAACATCAGGGGAAATAAAAGCAAAAATGAGCCCTAGTTGGGCAATGTGACATTTCTCTTTCCATCCTCATTTGATAATAAAATCTGTTTATTTTTAATAATTAATAAATCTATGTTACTGTAAAGTGCATATGATTTTCCCAGAACTGGACTCTATTAGACTTGACACAACTGTATACATCAGAACTACTCTATTCTCTTTTCTTTAGAGAATCTCAAAGTTTAAATCTGTTTTCACAGTGACGACCAGTCAGGAGTGATCCACTGCTCTGGTCTTCTGGCACAGAAGCAATTTAGATCTTCATAACAAGTGAATTTGATACACCCTTGGAAAAATAACAAACCAACATAAATTAAAAAAAAATTTTAAAATTATGACTTACCCAGGCAGTGGGCCACCATTAGTAAGTTCAAAGACCTGATGAGGGTTTAGCAGCTTTCTGAAACTGTACAGAAGATCCCGACCTTTGAGACCACCACTTTTTGGGTTCACAAATACAAGAAGTGGGCAGCAGTTCTGTGGTATCTTGGAAGCCTGAAAGAAGACAAGAGAAGATATTAGCCAAAACCATGACTCTCTGGAAAATTACTACTACATCTCAGAGGTACTTCCTGATGCTTCCTCGATGCTTAGTGAAAAAAAAAAAATAAATCCAGATTTGACAAACAAAAACATTCAATTTCCAGACAATATACAGGCTAGCTACTGATCCTGTTTTTCTGGGAAATGAAGTTTCCTTAACTCACTCCAGCTACACAGCTGAGTCTGCTGTTAAAAACAAGGGCGCTCTATGTACTCCTTCCGACACATTTTCAGTAAACAGTCTATGCCAAAGAATAGCGTGAGGGATAAGGTACTTTCCAGGGTCACAAACAACTCAAACACTTTTGTGCAAAGAGAGAACTTCTCCTCAGAACAACCGAAACCTTCGTCTTAATTTCCGTGGTCATCTTAAAATACATGTCCGTTTAGAAGGACAAGACATTTCAAAGCGAGGGTGCTCGGGGCAGACGCTGGCATGGCCTTCCCCAAGAAATAAGGAGGCTGAAAGCTTCTTTCACAAACATGTATTTAAAATTTTTAATTAGGAGGATATGGCACCAGTACCGTAGGATCCTGACACCTCCAGTGAAGCTGTTGCTGAAAGGGATCTCCATGCAGGGCCCTGCTGCGGGGCAGCCCAGTGCCCATCCAGAAACCACTCCAAAGGGAACTAGGCCTCACGGCAGAGACGGGATTTCCTGGGCAACTCCATGGACTGTGTGGCAGTGGCACCTGCAGCTTCACCACAGGTTAAAACTTCCAGCCACTAAAAGGATCCCCTTGGGGCTGGTTTTCAGCCAGCCAGCCCACAAAACATTCCATAAAATGATCTGTACATGCTTCTGGGAGATCAGAGAACGTCAGCACACCTCTACCCCGTCCTGCCACAGGGCCCTGGGGCACTAGAAAAACCCGTCGGGCGTTTCAACAAGGTGCGTTTCAAAACAGAAACGTTTATCACAGTCCCTAAGCCGTGTTAATTTGTATTTATGAATTGGACAGGATTCAGGGAACAGCAATTTGTCACGCAGCTGACAAGATGGATTCAGGGAACAGAACAACCCTGCTAAATATAAGTCAGTCTAGACAAGAACGATTCAGGGGGCGGTGAGGCAGCAGCATGACCGCAGTGTGCAAGCATGTGGAGAGACACCAACAGCTATGGAGGGGAAGAGGCAGCACTCAGAGAGCCTCTTGACTGCTGTCTGTGAGTGACCACCAGAGAGCATGAACTGCTGCATAAAATGCAGAAATTGGGACAAATTAATGAGTAACTTTGTGGGGAAGCAAACTGGAGTCTGATGTTGAGACAACTCAGATCCTCATCTACTTGTGAGCTGATCTGGGTGCTTAAAAACAAGCATTTGAGGCTTCCTGCTATTTGTGAGATTTCCTCAAGTTTTGTTTTCCTGGGAGAGCTGGGTGCTAATCCTTGGCAAGCCACACACCCTGCCAGATGTATCAGGACACCTGCAAGCACATAAAAATTGTTCTCCTCTTTGTCACTGCCAGCACGAGCCATGACTTCCATCGCCCAGCCAGACTCACAGGCACAAACAGAAAACACACTGGGAAGAGGAACACTAAGCAGGTAAGGTTGGTGGAGCAGGCACACTCTTCTCCTCTTGTCCCTTCCTTTCTTGTCTTTTAGATTCTAACAGAGACATCCAGTTTGAAAATACATGTTTTCTCCAAAAATAATTAGCCAAACAAGCTCTATTTTGGCTGACAAAGAGATGAAAAAGCCTCAAAATTTTGTTTTACTGGAAAGGCTTCACTGCTGGCAAAACGATGCTGGTGAGACAAAGGCTATGAATCTGTCCACTCAGCTTTCTCCAAAGAAGATACCTCCACGCTACAGTGTGACGACTGCTAAGTCAAGATACCTGTTGCTTTTATCTTCAGGGTTTACTGGAAAAGCAGGAGCAATTATTCAAAGTATGCCCAACAGTCAACAAGGGTAATATATTTAACTCTGTTGAGCACACGGAAAGGATATCTGTAGCCAGCAAAGGAAGTCTATGGAAAACAACACATGCTACTGTCACAAAAAGGAAGGACTTCTTGAGTTGTAACGTCAACAGCTCAAGGACCCGCACATCCCAACAGGAGAAGTGGATTTCGTCCCCTCAAGCCATCACAGGCACTAATAAAAATAGTCAACTTAACTCTGGCATTTCCAGAAGTATAGCCCTTCTCATTACTCCATCAGCTCCTGCACCATCATCTGCTATATCCCATTATGAGCAATCCTTTGAAAACCCCACAAGCAACCAAAAGTAGAGCAGTTCTGAAAGGAAATGCCACTTTCCATGGGTAACAGGGCAAACTGTTACCTTCCCACATCCCTTGTTCCAGTTCCTACTCTGCCCTACCTTCCCATCTGACCACTTCCTATTCCATCTTATTCTGGAAAGCATTTCTTACTACCTAAATTTCACCTCCAGTCATTTCAACTTTCTGAACAACACAGGCTATCTGAAGCCTTAGGTTTGGTCCAAGCACCCAGAAAACTGTGGGGTTCAAAATGGGGGTAAGTGGATAACAGAAACAAAAAGTACAGGTCTGCAGCTCAAAGTAAACAAAATGTTTTCAAAAGGAACAGCAGAAATGAAACCAGCCCCACATTGAAATTAAACAAATACCTTACTTGAATGTGGAAAAGAACATCTGATAACCTTTTCTTCTTTAGGAAATCAGTTTCTAAAAATACCAAGTTTGGACATTTAGAAGTGACACACTGAACACATGTTTTGTTATTACTTGCTTTTAGAGGTGAATTCTAATGCACTGGGTTTAAAAGCAAGTAACAAATAATTCACAAGTAACTTCAGGGAATCGCAATGATTTTTGAGACGTTGTAAGCTCTGAAGCATTTAAAAGCACAGGTGTATTTTGGGAAGTCATCTGAGACACTACTCAAGTAAATACATATTGTTGCAAATACATATTTACAGTTTCTACAAAACTGCCAGCCTAATTACCTAATTGTCAAGTGTCAATATATAGGGGAAAAACTACTAAGAGCCACAAGCAGCTGCAAAGAATGCCCGGAGCTAACAAAACATCTGTACGTAGTGTAAACTGAGATGTCCTATCACTTGAAACCATCTTTGTTTGAGTACCTTCTAATGTAAATCTCTACCTATATCTAATTAGGACTAAATGCACCTATGCAGAATAAACAGAAGCGTTCTAGAAAGCACTTTGCCTTACAGTTACCTTGCTTCCCACTATCACTCTTCATTAAACTTAAAGGAGTGAAGAAACACTTCAAAATCCCTAGGTAAAGGCCGGCTTCTAAGAAAACAATTATTTTTCAGTAGGGGTTAAAAACTCTGTGACAGTTTGCACAGCAGAGCAGGGCGGCGATGTCACTTTCTGAGAAGTGACATCTGCTTTACGCTGCAGAATTTTTTTTAATCCCTTAGTAAAACCCCAACGGGACGTACGAACAAGTTCGTTCCTGGGCAGAAGGGGACGTGTGACTCACAGCCCCGGGACTCCCTTCCCGCTTTGGCCCTGGCTTCAGTGCTCTGCTCGAGGAGTGAAATCTGCAGAGGGCTTTCGTGTGGGCTGGCGCTCAGGAAGGAATTTATTGCTCGTTTCTTAGAGACGCTGAAGGAGGCCATGTGATTTAGACACTCGGACAGTCACTGTAAATTGCTTAGTTTTGTCAGGATTAGCACCACATAGCTTCAGGCTGGGGCGAGACATTTATTATGCACTTATTATTCTGTTGAGTGTGCTGTGCAATCACATCTCACGGTGAAGCAGAACAAGGCGTTCTGTGCCACAGGCCTGCCAGGACGAGAACCATGGCACATCTCCCAGTTGCTGGGCTGTTTCCAGCCACTGCAGATATCTCTAAGTGACAAGCAAAACTCAAGATCTGAAGGCAGGCTGTCTGCAGCATCTCCCATGTGAGAGGACTCAAGATGCCTCAAACACGAAGTTCCATGACCCTGGACAGAAAGGAGTTGTTGAATCTGACGAGGAATGATGTGCAAGGTGTCTCAAAGCAACTGGAGCAGCAGCTGAGTCAACACAGAAGGGGCTTGAGCCTCTTCACTTTTCAGGGGACTTCAGCAGTGGAAAGCAACCTTTCTTTTGGTGAAGAAGGTCATTAAACTATCATGCTTTTAAGTTGGACACATTTGTGTGAGGAATTAGCACAATGAATGAAATTGGGAAATTGCCTCATTTTTCTATGACTCTTAAGGAGCCTAAACACAGCACATCAGCAGGCAGTCTACTGGAAAGGAGAATTAGTGATAAAGCCACCAAAACTTGTCAGCTTGGTGCTGATGTTGGCCTCAGAACTCTCAGCTGATTTTCTTGTTTGCCAGTGCTGCAAAAGGAGTTCTGGTAAATCAGCTTTCGATTCAAAGACTCAGTCCTGCAACATCTTTCACCGTGATGTGCCACCAGAGAGCAAAAACAGCCTGACCCTGCAGGCAGCAGCTCAACTGCTTCGTACAACACTGTGTATTTTTCACATTCCAGTAAAGACAGTATTTTCATTTCTTTGAATATTGTGAAATGAAAAAGTGTTTGATTAAATTCTTAAAGACCCCAGATCATGAAATAGCAGATCAAAGCATGTGATCACACCAACTGCTTGACCTTCTAGTAAGCAGTTAGCGCAGACTGATTCTGAATTCAAACTTCTCCGTAATCATAAAAAGAGCATGAATTATTTATGGCAGACCTGACCAAGCTGGACTAGAACTGGGCCTCCTCTTTAGAAGCTACATCAGACACATATGGATACCCTGCATTTTACAGTTAGCTGTGCTGGCAGCACTGTGTTGCAGAATTAAGACTTTCATCCTTGAGCTCTTTTCTAAACAAGTACCTAACTCTTGCTTGCTAATTATGAAAAGAGACCCTGGCCAGCCAAGTCAGGTCATGTGGGGAGTTGGTCTGTGAGAATGGACAGATAAGAGGCTTCTTGCCTGGGAGTGAACAGGAGAGTGTGATCAAAACAAACGTGGGGAAAGTCTGTTCTCCCTGTGTGACAAGAGAGTGACTGAAGGAGTACACGAGCTAACAGCAACCCTGGCTGCATAGTCTGGTCTCCTGATTGTAACCCACAAATAGTGCTTCCTGCTAATAAACTTGGTCTTAGCTTCTCTCAAGAGCTGAGTCTGTGCCTTTCTGCCCTCCACAGACACAGAGTAAGAGAATCTCACCTCAGGAAAATGAAGGACTAGCAGCCTTCTAACCACCGATTTAATTTTGTGCTTTTACTAACTTTTAAGAAGGATTGTTTTGTTGCCTTTTTTAAAAAAAAAATCTAAGTTGCAATTTGGAAAAATCATTCATTAACGACAACATTGTGGCCTTTTTTTAATCATCCATTCTTCTTCTGAGACTACACATTCCCCTTCATTTCCAATTTCTTTGCATTTCACCCACAAGAGGAATGTCAAACTTAAGCATAAATTTAGTACTGTGCTCAGTTTCTGTGTCAGTATTTCCTGGTGCTGTACTTAAATGGTCACATATATAAAGTATAAACAAAAGGTAATAGTATCATAGGATAAAATGATAATCTAGGATGGAGAGTTCTTCAGGAGGTAATCTAGTCCAATTGCTACCCAGAGGAGGGTCAACAATCAGTCATTAGTTTATCCTGGGTAATCAGTGCGTGGCGTAAGCTGCATGGCCAAAGGGCATATGAACAACATTTGAAATATTTAGATTAACTGTGGCTCATTTCAGCGAGATGACCAAACATAAACAGTACATGCTGAAATGGAAACAAAATATATGTGCACATGTACAGCCCCTCCTTCTTTCTCAGGTATTAGAAATTCATCCCCAGCAGTTTCCTGAACCAGATTCTAAAAATTATCTTAAGGTAGTTTTTTTTTTCATTTAAAGATATATTTTAAAATCAAATCCATCTCTTACCACAACTTCAGGAATCATCACGGCGTTCAGAGGTTTGTCATTGACAGTTGTATCTTTAACTAGCATGTATATTCTTTCAGCTTCAGAAAAGCACGAAATTTCGAGTACAACAGCACCTGTAAGGAGGCATCAGAAATATATTTTATATTTTCTGTTATCAGGAAATCAGTAGCATCATATCACAGCAAAAGTTTACTCAGTTTACTCAGGACATTATTCAGTAAAAGTTACTCCACAACACTTGTGGTTGTTCATTATCAGTGAATTGGGCTGCTTCGTTTTTCAAGCCCTCTTTTATACATCTCAAACACACGCCAGATTTTTGTTGAAGCAAAAGAGTTTGAGGATAAGAACTGCAGCACAGAACTGATATATATTCAAAGACTTCCTTCAAGCTTCTGAAGCATTCCCACACTCTTTACAATAACCAACAGGCTGTTCTCATCATGTAAAAGTGACAGAGGTACCAGGTTTCATTTTGTATCTCAGTCGAAATCTTGTAGATTTCATTGATAATATCTCAGTAAGAATTATTACAAGCAAAGATTTGGTCTGAGAATCAATTTAAGGTCTTTACATTGGCTTAGGTTCTGCATGAGGAAGGCAGGGAAGAAGGAAAGGCAAAAGGGAAAAATAAAATAAAAGAAAATACTGACAAATTAGTTCAAAGATACTCAGTGAGGGCGGGACAAGGTTTAAGTACATAACAGACAGCCTATGAGATGTAAGCTGGCAACACAAGCTGGATGCCACCAGAAACATAAAAATACTCAGTAAAAAATCACAAAGAACAATAAAAATTACATACCAGCAGAAACATCATAAAAAACACATGAAGGTAAACTTTGTTAAATGAAGCTGTGACATGAGAAGAGCATCATAAAAAACAAATATTCACCATTGACAAACACAAAAAGGAGAAAGCATATCCGAACGCTTTATGGTTTTTCCTTATGAGAAGTCAACACTAACTAGTTATGTGGAGACAGGAAGGAAGCATGCAACAGTCTTCAAAACCACTCTATAGAAAGATTCACTTAGCCGTCATGTGAAAGTTAAGCCTGCAGAGAACATTTCCGATACAGGTACCTAAATGTACAAAAGACAAATTCTATGCTTTTATATTTTACCAAGTATAGATCTCCACCTGAACACTGCGCTAAAGCTGCACAGAGTCACTGATGCTCCGGTTCTCGGAAGCCTCACGGCTTCTCCTGCCTTGCTGAAATAAAATTTGTACATGAAAAAGCAAATCAACAGCTCAGAGGATGAATGCAGGGACGCATGTACTGATTTTCTTCAGACTTCCAGCTACTGAACCCCCACTGAACACTGGGCTGGGAAGCAGTCCATCAAAGTCAGAAGCAGTACTGATTATTCGTATTTTATAAGTCAAAATAAAGAGAGAGCACTTTAAGGGGTTTTAAGAGTTCAGCAGTGTTAGGCTATTCAGTTGAAGTGCAATTTCCAATTTTTACGATGAAATATTACCACTTTCTGGCACAGGAGGCATGAAGCCAACCTTTTGGTTTTTTTAAATAAGGTAGCACTAATCCACTGCTCTTCATAAATATGATGTGTTACATTTTATGCGAAGGGCTTTTTGCTTATGCAGTAAGACTGACATTCTCTGAGCTTACAGCCTCTCATATTAGGCTGCAGTTTTGAAAATACACATTTTATGCAAGACTAAAAATCTCAATGCTTACCTTGTGCTTGATAAACATGACTCACAGATACCACATTTGCTGCAAAGGGTAAAAATACAAACACATAAAACCTTGGGTACATTTAGAGTAAATATTTAAAATATTTTTAAAAGTTACATAAACATAATATAAATAAATATTAGAAGTTATAAAATAACAGGGAGAACCTCCAGCTAACACTTTCCCTCTCCTAAGTTTACTTTGCAAGTTAGAAAAGCTAAACTGATATTCATAAAAGGTGACTATGAATTCTTTCTGGCATTTAAAGTTCAATTCCTCTTAAATTTACATAAAAGATGGGGAAAAAATGCTTCGTTTCCTGAAACAAAAAGCACAATGCATTCCTGTGTACTGTTTATAGTACACATCGGTTAAGGTTATTATGAAAAATCAATTACACTTCTTTGAAAAAGAAACACAAACTCTTTTCACTGACTGCTTGTCTATACATACGCACACACTGGTCAAATTTCTCCATGACGAGGCACACAGCTCATGAACAACATCCCAGGCAAAAATTGTCAGAAGTTAATAATGGCTAGGAATGTTCACGCACAGAGAATTAAACTGCACTGCCATAATCTGAATGGTGTAGGGTGCACACAGTTCACTTCTAAAAAGTGTTCCTTTTTCAGTAAGAAAAATGTTTTGGTCACATATAGTTCAAGTAGTATTATAATAAATCTACAAATAATGAGCTGTCACATCTCTCATGCAACCACGAACACGTCAAAACGAATAAAAAAAACCCCTGTAAGAGTATAAGGCAGACTTATTTTTAAAATAAAATAGAAAACATTAAGAAAAAAATAATATAAAAGGATCAATAAATTCTACTACATTTTATTCTGTACAAGTGAATATATGTCAAAATGCACCGGCTTACTTACTTTTGATAGTTAACTCATCCGTGAGAATATTTGTGTACTCTTCAGAAGAAAGCTGCGGTGGAAGGCCACCAACAAATAAATTCACTCGTACAACAGATTTACTGTTTTCCACAATGTAAAATCTTGTTTGATTCATCTGACGTATTGAAGTCTACCAAAACAAAGAAAAATAAATGACATTTGGAAAAATGATACTGTGAAACAAAAACCCCCAACAGCTCTGAGGTTAGCAATCAAGTACTCTACACCTAGAGAACACCACAGACAGAAACAAACTTCTCTGCAAGCACTTAAGCTTCTCCACAGACAAGCCAGCTTGGGGGGAACTGATTACTTACTTTTTCTGTAAGGAAGGGGACTCCCTACTTGTTACAAACAAGGATGATGTTTTGTTTTGAGGTTTACCTTTCTTATGTCCTTGAGTCTGTTAAGAATCAGTTCCTGATTGTCCAATACCATGCGCTGAACTAGAGACAGCAAGAACATTAATCATGTTTGAAAGCATTGTAAATTATTACCAAGCTCAATTAAACAAAAACAGTACGAAAAAATGGAAGGACAATTCACAACTCTGCATACAACTAACACTAACATAAAGGACTATTCAGACCTGAACTACTCATTATTCAGCAGAAAAAACACGTAGGCGCTTTGAGCAGCCCGATTTTGTTCACAGTTTTTAAATAGCCCTCACTGCAAAAACAGCTTGAAGACAAGCTAACCGTTTGGCACAAGACTTTAAAAACTACATTCCCTGACAACTACAGCAATAACCAGCTTCTGTATTTCATTAAAACAATTTTAACAACTTTCAGCTAAAGTGAGGTTGTAAAGGATGCTTCAAAACAGGCTACAATAACGTTATAAAACAACTTACTGTTAATGCTCACAAAGCAAGCTAAGTATTAGGCCAGTATTTAAACTGCAAAGATATTTACTTGGGTGGGGCCAGGGCATGGTCAGGCTGCTTCAGTGGCTGTGCTTATCTCTCCATGCAGCCTTACAAATAATAAGGCATAAGGGAGTGTGAGCCTGGAAAGCACCTGCTCCACTCCTGCAGGATCACACTGCTCCTGAGTGATGCCAGGACTGTGTATTTCTGTACTTCATAACGCACACACGTACTCCTTTGACCATCTCAGGACTCGAATTTGCTCTTTTTGGAGAGAGTGTCAAGAGGAAGGAGGAGACAAGGAAGGGAACCAGCTGAACTTTAAACTACCCTAAATAATTGCAGTAAAGAAAACTACAACAGTTAAATGCAGCTCCCCGAAACAGGGCTCTTTGCCCAAGTGTCAATATCCACCAGGAACCACTAATAAACCTTTAAGAAAGAGAAGAGAACCCTATTCCCACAGGACGTGTAAGGCTGAAAAGAACCAACATCACTTCTGATTAAGCATTTCAACATGATGGTGAAGTTTCATTTGTGAAGGCATTTGTTGTAAAAACTTAACTGGGATTGTGTTAATAAGTGGAAAATAAAAAAACCAACCAGAATAGCAGTTACAGATCAGTGCCTTTGGCCAATGTGTCTTCAGTTACCTTGCTTACTGCCCATAAGCACTTCCACCAGTCTGAAATTCTGGAGGCACTCCGTCTGCCAAAAGATGCAACATGAAAATATAGTTTCTGAATGAAATACATTTTTTCAGATGTTTATGTTAATGTTACATTATACGCTGCACACACAGAGCACGGAAAATCAAACACTTTTAAACCAACGACGACGTTCTTCCCCTCTCAAGCCAGGAATAATCATCATTTTACACACATGGACTTCCACCCATGGCATCAGGCTGCTCTGCCCTTAACTCTGCCAGCATCCTCGCAGGCACCTGTAGAGCGAAGTTAACACTACACCCTTTCAGTGACCAGCAGCTCATCTAGGGTATTTCCAGAGACTCCTTCCAGAGAAAGCATGCAGGGCTGGGAATGAATCGGCTCTTTGAGAAGATGTCCCAGGAACCAGGCTTGGCAAAAGCGAGTTGACCAATCCCCGACTCCGGGGACGCTCCAGGGCCACTGATGGAACAAAACCCTCTTCCATGTGCCACAGCCCCTCCTCCAACACTGCCAAGGTCCACCTAAGTCACTTGAAGATGCATGAGAAAAGCTGGCACAGCCAGGAGCTGAACCATTTATTAGGATTATTGCAACTCTGGAAACGTGACACACAGGATTTTCAGCCTTGATACTCAGAGGACAAATGACCTTTCTTTACATGTCATGAACACTGTTATTAAAAGCCTCAACTGCCTACATTTGCTTTGCCTGAAATGTAGAGGATCTTCAGCATGTGCAAATTCTGGGCACTAAAAAGACATTTCCTGTATGTGCATCTTCATATAGAAAAAGGACAAAACCCTCTAAAAAATCAATCAGTATCAGAAAATTGCAATTGAGCCAAGGAGTCAATTCTCTTACAACATAAAACTAGCTTCCCAGATAGAGAGATGTGAAGATCTTTCCTAGAGTAATGGACTACCCTGACAGTTGCGTTTTTCAGATACGACAATACAAGAGACAAGTTTTCCAATATTTGCTAGAAGGTCCACATCACTTGAGGGAAAAGGACTGAAATCAGTCCCAGAAGCATCCTATATCACAAAATGAGATGCATACACTGTGTTGTGTACACCTAGACAGGGATCTGCAATAATTACCTACCCTGTCATGACCACAAGAGGCAGTCAGTGGTCACCCTCTGCAAGTATAGCTCTTCCCTAGAGCAGCAGAAGTTGCTGGTGTGCTCACAAGTGCAATGAATAAAAGTGCCTGCTATGGCTTCAAGCCTCCACGCCTTGTGTCTGACTGAGTCTTCCCAGCGCCTTGGAACACTCACAAATTGTACTAACATGTTTTCTAAAAACGATGCTATCTTGGCACCAATTGCTAAGAAAGACAGGCAGGCTGAAAAGAGATCATCAACATGTGCATCTACAAGATTGCAAGATGTATCTGATTATTTCCAAGGAAGTGGGAAGCGATGCAAATGGTGAAGCACATGGGTGCCATTCAGGCTTGAGCTCTTCCTTGTAGCTCTTGGGGACTGCAGAGATGCTGTTTGTCACTGCAGAGACGAAATTTGTGTGGCCAGAGCTCGATTAGAGCTGAGGCTAGCCAGCAAAACAAAAAGGGCTTTTTCAAATATGTTAATAGTAAAAGGAGAATCAGAGATAACATTGGCCTGTTGCTTGAGGAGGTCGATCACTTCACAAATAGGGACACACAAAAAGCAGAGACCTTTGATGCCTCCTTTGGCTGTGTGTGCAACACCGATGATGGGCCCTGCGACTTCCAGAGCCCTGTGCTGCTCCCTGCCCTGTGACTGGGCAGAATGACAGACTTCCAGCTGACCCTGAACTTGTCTGAGAATTACTGCTCCAGCCAGATGTGGATAAATCTACGGGGCCCAAGAGGATTCACTCCAGGGTACTGAGGAGCTTGCTGATGTTATCACAGGAACTCTCTCCATTATTTTTCTTGGTCTTGGGAGTCTGGAGAGGTCTCAGTCAACTTGAAGCTGGCAAAAGTTGTCCCAATTTTCAAGAAGGATAAGAAGGAATATTCTGGGTAATCACAGGCCTGTCAGTCTCACTTCGGTGCCTGGTAAATTTATGGAGAAGGTTGTCCTGGGAGTTACCGAAGAACACTTGAGAGAGAACACAGTCATTGGTTGTAGGCAGCATGGGTTCATGGGGGCAAAGTCCTGCTTAACCAACTTGATTTTGTTTTATGACAAGGCCACACATCTAGCTGTCCAAGGGAAGCCAGTAGATGTGGTCGTTTTAGAAATTAGCAAAGGCTTTCATACTGTCTCTCACAGTATCCTTATGGACCAAATGTCCAGCACACAGCTAGACAAGTCCATAATGAGTTTGGTGAGCAACTGGCTGATGGGTTGGGCTCAGAGGCTTGCAGTACATGTGTTTACATCAGGCCAGTGGCCAGTCACCAGTGGGGTTCCCCAGGACTTTAGGGCCAGTGCTCTTTAACATCTTTATAAATGACCTGGATGCAGGAACCAAACGTATGTTAAGTAAGTTTGCTGATCATACTACAGTAGGAGGAGCTGTGGGCTTCCTCAAGGGTAGAGAGGCTGTACAGAGAGATTTGGATAGATGAGAGACCTGGGCCATCACAAACTGTACGAAATTTAACAGGAGCAAGTGCCAGATTCTCCACCTGGGACGCAGTAATCCTGGTAAAACAAGCAAATTGGGGAAAGGCAAGTTGGAAAGCAGCCCTGCAGAGAGGGACCTTGGGTTTTGGGCCCATGGCAAGTTGAATATGAGTCAATGGAGTACCCTGGCAGCTGAAAGCACTACCTGTGTCCTAACCAGCTGCGGAAAGTGATTGCCCCAATTCACACCACACTTGTGCAGCCTCATCTTGAGTTCTGTGTGCAGTTTTGAGTGCCTCAGTGTAAGGAGGACATCAAGCTGTCTGAGTGTGTCCAGAGGAGAGTGACCAAGACGGTGAAAGGCCTTGAGGGTGAGACTTACAAAGAGTGGCTGGAGAAGAGAAGGTTGAGGGCTGACCTCATTGCAGTCTACAACTTCCTCAAAGGGAGCAGCAGCTGAGAGATGCTCTCTCTGGTGACAGGATACAAGGAAATGGAATGAAGCTGCATCAGGGGATGCAGATTGGGCATTAGGACAAGGTTCTTCACTGAGAGGGTGCCTGGTCACTGGAACAGGCTCCCCAGGGAAGTGGTCATGGCACCAAGCCTGGCAGAGTTCAAGGAATATCTGTACAATGCTCTTAGTCACATGTTTTAGGTACTGCTGCAAGAAGCAGGGAGTTGGACTTGATGATCTTCAGAGGCCCCTTCCAACTTGAGATGTTTTCCTTCACAGAGCAGTGCAAAGTACAAGACAAGTGTGATCACCTAAGAGCGACTGCTAGTTTCTCAACAAGGTAAGATTAGCAGTGTAACTGCATACAAGTATATTTTAAATATCTCAAGATATAAACAACTAGTAGAAATACCCAGCACAACAAGGGTTATTGTGTTCACACAAGTAAATGTGCTTGACCCAGAAAGACTGACAGTAACTTCCAGCACAGTGGAACCAGGTCTATCATCGAAACTGCAGGAAGTTTTGAGCAGCACATCAGTCACAACAGATCATCTAACAAACATGAACAACATTAAGAGCAAATGGACTGATTGTAATTTTTCTGAAGAGAAAAGCATAACAGACCTCACTTCAAGGTCACTCAGGTGGTATATGGACAAGCTTACAATCTTTCGTTTACCTGTTTTCCAAGTAATGGAAGCACTTCTTTGATCACAGTCTGTGTTGTGCTACCCTTATCTACTCGTAGAGAAACATACGCCATTCCTACCCTAAGAAGAAAAGAAATACTTATTTTAGTAAGGACAATCATTTGACCTATCCTGAGTGTGCCTTTGTTACGTAAGTGGCAAATTTTCTATGGCGGCAGGCAGAAATCTGTATTATTTGAAGAAAGTTGTTCACTGAGGCTTATGGCAGATGCAGTACTAGCCCTACAGACAAGCAAAGATTTTTGTCTCAAGAAACTCGTCATTACAATTGTAGCACTGCAAATTAGTTTCTTCCTATACACAAAATCACCTGCAAGTCTTTCACAAAATTTGGCCATGTCGTTGCATTAGTAGAAATGAACAAATCTTTAAATTTTATCCCACTGCTCTTAAGAAATTACTAGGTCACCAGGCAGTTTTGTTTCCAGTGCTAAATATACTTAAATGTTGTATTGTCTCAGTAGTAACAGGAACAGATTTCTTTTTTCTTTCTTTTTTCTTCCTAATCTCACATTACACAGAATTCTTCCTACTTAATATCTCTTGAAAAACTCAGCCAGCTTTCAAGCGGCATGTGTATGTCCTCATTTATTTACAGATGCAGTTAATGTAAAATTGCATTTTCCTGGCCAAATACACAATTACAGAACTGCACAAGTTGCACAGTATGTTCCATGCATGTAAAGAAACCCACAAGCACGTTTCCAGGCACTGAAATGAATAATATGTATACTACTCATTGACAAAAATAAACAGAAGTATCCTGAAATACAGATGAAGAAACTACATTCTCTGTTATAGTTGTGTGACTTCAATAACTGAAACACCAGGCTAGACTACAGAGGACAAATGTAGCCACACAGGAGAGCCGTGTGATAAACAAGAGAAAACACTCACTTCAGCCAGGCAGGATAAATTCTGATCACCTCCTCGTCCTTTGGTTTGGCTCTGATGATCCAAGCTTCAGGAACGGACTCTCGGAATACTGAGCCCGAGTTGCTGTCCTCTGCAGCATTGTTCCTGTTGATAATGTCATCAGATAGCAGCGCCTGCTGCGTAAAGGTCTGAAGCTCATACTCCTGCTGGTCATCATTTATGTAGTATGCTCTCAAAGCAGCCTCCTGCAACACAGCAAGATAAATCAATATTTTCTTGAAAAGACACTGTTAATATCTGTATAGCCATAGGACGTTTGTAAATGCCTGACTTACAGATCCAACCTTTACCGCATGTTTTAAGTGCAGAACAGTGAATAAAGAGCAATGGCAACAAAGCAAGAGTGAAGTTTTAAAGTTTTTCTCCCCTGTACTTGGCACTGGTGAGGCCACACCTCAAACCCTGTGTTCAGTTTTGGGCCCATCCCTACAAGAAAGACATCAAGGTGCTGGAGCATGTCCAGAGAAGAGCAACGAGGCTGGGGAAGCGTCTAGGACACAAGTTTAAGAGGAGCAGCTGAGGGACCCGGGGCTGTTCAGTCTGGAGAAGAGGAGTCACTCTCTACAACTACGTGAAAGAGGCTGTAGAGAAGTGAGGGTTGGTCACTTCTCCCAAGTAACAAGTGACAGGACAAAGAGAAATGGCCTCAAGTTACGCCAGGGGAGGTTTAGATCGGCTGTTAGGAAAAATTTCTTCACCAAAAGGGTTGTCAAACACTGTAACAGGCTGTCCAGGGAAGCAGTGGAGTCACCACTGTGTAGACAACGCGTTCAGGTGGACACCTTGCGTGGCTAAATGAACAGTTGGACTGGATGATCTTAAAGGTCTTTTCCGACCTGAACAATTCTTTGATTCTATAAACCAAATTTTAGTGGAAGATACAAAAAGAAAACTTGATATATCAGTAGATTTGAACACAGCCCATGGTATATTTATCAAGTGATAGTAATTTTAACTCCATAGATCAAATACAAAAATTGAGCACCAGTAAAGCTATGCTTCCTGCATGTAAAATCTATTCCACAAGGAAAATGGTAAACTACATCTGATTGTGCCCAACTCCACATATTCAGTCTTCCCGCATTAAGGAGATGATGCAAATTAGCACGCTTCTCAGCCACAAAACTCCCTGAACGCACACACCTGTGAAGAGGAAAGGTAAGGCCTGTCCTTTGAAAATGTAAGCAGCCACATGAATTTTACATCCATTGCTGGCCCAGGTCAGCAGCAGCTCTGCTAACAGACACTGCACTGAATACAGCCCAGTAAGTCACTTATGAGAACAGGTATTAATCTACCCTGGTATTATAAGCAGTAGCTTGACAAAAGGTGCTTGAAAGGCAAGTAGACTCATAAATAAAAGCATTTTCAGCACCATACACAATGTTCCTTGAAGATCTTTGACAGGCAGAATACTACTAACCATTTTCAAAACTATTTTGAGCACAATATCAAGATAAAAATCTTAAGCTGTAAGTTTAAATTGTGAAAATTCTGCTGTAATAAATTCTCCAGATTCCTGTGCCAAGTCTTTTATAACTATGAGTCTTCACCACACTCAGTTCTACCGTGCACCACCCCATGCTCCCTCTGGGCTTCATTTCTGCACTCCACGATGCCTCTGACCTGCCCAGGAGATAAAGATCTGTATAGAACATCTGATTTAGTACCTTGTCATGTTTCCATCCCAGACAGAGCCCAGTGGCACAAGGGTTTGGCCACTATGTGATTAATAAATTACTTTCACAGCCAAGGAGTGGAGGTAGCTATGGCATGCCTCAGTCTTCAATGCTGATTAACTCAGGTGCAATAAAGGTGGCTGCCCAGGATAAATGTCAAACCATCAAATACTGGAGAAGAGGAGCAAGGTCTAAGGACCTGATTATCCAGTATTGCTCACATCATCAAAACCAGGCTTCAGTTTCACACAGAGAAGCAGAATGACTGTTTTAACATGTGATATGCTGTGGCCCCCATTATGCTATAGATACATAGGCCATCATTTCTTCAGATGCTCTAAGAGCACTACATGAAGATGTCAAATTACATTGTAGTATTATAACTCATGTACAGATTTTGTTGCTGTTAGGTTACACTTGTAAAACTATTAGCCTTTAGCTATTGTAATATATAACCATGTGCTTTATCACATGGGAATATTGACCTTCACTGCATAGCTTACCACAACTTCTTCATTTTTTGCAATCCTTGGAACTGAAATCAGTCGAAATTGGTTGCGTTTCACTGCATCATTTCCATCAAATATCTTCAGTGTTTGTTTACCTGAATTAAAAAAATATTGTATTTCAATAACACATCCCTCAAATCAAAAAGGTACCTGAAGAGGAAGCATATAATGGAATTATCAAAAATCTGCCCTTAATCCACTGAACTGCTTCTTCATCACAAGCTTTGAGGCTGAATCTTTCAATTTTTGTTTTTGTTACTGTTCATTTAAAACAGGGGTGCATTCACAGAGGAAAGCAGCAGGATTATTTCAAGCAATCACAGTTTTATCCTGGGTTTTGATATAACTATACTGCTTATGTTATCTCTTCTTCATCCTCAGTATTCAAGACTGCATTAATTATTGACCAGTTCAACAACATGAAAACCAAGACAGAGTGCCATCACCTTCAGAACAGGTCCCAAAGCACTGCCTATTCTGAAAGCATCCTTCTGAAGAAAGCCTTTAAAAGTACTCAGTTAACTGTACAGACAACTGGAGGAAATACATGAACATAGGAAAAACTAGAAGAAAGAAGAACTACAACCCTTCGCTGTGTTTCATTTTGCTGAAGCCTCATCAAATATGTGCCAAACTACACAGCACAGGTTTTTGCATAGACATCTCCGGAAGGATGAAGAGTTAAGGACTTCAGGTTCACCCTTCACAAAGGTAAGACTCAGCCTAGTACGGTCCACTGTATGACAGTTTCTCTCTTACATAAAAAACTATTTTAAGAGCAACAGCAAAGCGAAAACAAATGCTCGTAAAACAGGTGGTTTATGAGAGGCTGCAAGAACACATTAATATTATCAGTTCAATATATGTGTCCCTACTGCATATGGAAAAGAATTAAGTTAATAATCCAAACCAAAAAGCAGATTCCAACAAGATGGACTTTGTGTTCTCTCCTGATCACCTCTTTATGAAGAGACCTGACACACTGTTCAGTTTTGCAGGTTTTTTCATTTACTCCTCAGAGAGCCCATGTTTTACAACAGACATGACTGTTCTTCACAGATAGAATTTGCCTTTTTTATTGAAGTTAGACTGAACTGTTAACAAAAATCACTCTTCACAGAGCACAATGTCACACTCTCTGATCTTGTAACAAATCTGTATGCCTGCATTCATCATAGAGTAATAAAATCATCAGGAGCTCTTACTTTCAGACTTGAAATGTCAAAAATATTAGCTGAAAGCCATGTACAACAGCTGCAGTGTCCAGAAAACTGGTTAATCATGCAGTTTGTTAATACATGTTGTAAAGGAGAGATCACGTGCTGGAGTCTACTTCCATCTTTCTCTTACAGCTTGGAAACACTTTACAGTACAGCACGAAGTCCTGAAAGCCTTTTGCTCTCAAGTAATATTGGCATTTAGGGTCAAAGAATGACATTAGCAAATTGCCACTTGTCATAAAAGGATTAAAAAGGAGAGCTAAACCTGGAGTTGCTCCTCTAAAAAATCACCCCTAACTGATGGAGGAAAAAAGCAAGCTAGAATCCCAGGCAGAAATGTGCATCATTGAGTGTCTCAACGCTTCAGTGACAGATTGTGAGTGGCTGCTCTGCAAGGACACCTCAGTGATGCTCTGCTAGCCCTCTAGAACCACCTGAAACTCAGGTATGCTGCGTCTAATCTACCTATTCGTGCTTCAGTGTATATTCTGTCAATTCACTCAAAGGTAGATAAGAATATCTAAAGGTTCATGTAATACTGTCCGTGAAAGAGGCCTTTCTCAAACAGGACTCCAACCCTCTACTGGGTGCCCTAGGGCTAAACACAGCCCTGCAGGTGGGGTCTCCCTGGAGCAGAGCACACCGGCAGAATCACCTCTCACAACGTGCTGGCCAGGCTTCTCTTGATGCAGCCCAGGATGTGACTGGCCTTCTGGGCTGCAAGTGCACATTGCTGACTCATGACCAATTTTTCATTTACCAACACTCACAGGTCTTTCTCTGCAGGGCTGCTCTCAATCCACTCATTGCCCAGCCTCTGTCTGTGCCTGGGATTGCCCCAACCCAGGTGCGGGACCTTGCACTTGGCTTTGTTGAACTTCATGAGGTTCACATGAGCCCACCCCTCCAGCCTATCCAGGTCCCTCTGGATGGCGTCCCTACCCTCCAGCATGTCACTGCACCACTCAGCTTGCTGTCGTCAGCAAACTTAATGAGGGTGCACTCAATCCCACTGTCCAAGTCCCTTGAGGGACATCCCTTTTTACTGGTTTCCGCTTGAACACTGATGTGAAAGCTCAGTGGGTTTAGGCAGAATGTAAAGAACTAAAATCCCAAGTGAAAGCCCAATTGAAGAAGGAAAAACTACTGCCTTTCTAAATGGTATCTACAACAGGACAGATCTTTGTGCTTCTGGTTTTGGAGGTTCACTTCTTGCTCCTGTCAGGAAGAATGAACTTTGGAGGCACAGCTCTAATTTCTTCTCTCCTATGTTACTACTCCTCAAGTATTCTTTTGGTAGTGGATAGCTGAAACCTTTAACAGCATCTATTTAAGAAAAATAATCACACCATTTCCTCATGCAATGTACACTCGTTACAACAATGGACAGTGAATTATTCTACAGAAGTAAGCCTGGATTATATGACATGATACATCAGGACTTTTAAAGTATTTTTTAATATGAAAAGTACTATCACCACATGAATTTGGTTTTTAAGTTTTCCATTTATCATCTTAGTGGCTGTGCCTGTTGTCAATTTTGTTTTAGGTACAATATCAGGAACATTTAAATATCATCAACTCTCACTTCTAAAGAATCCTTGGAACTCAATTGCTTTTGCATTGAGATTATAGCATACATCAGAATGTGATCCACTCCTTTAAGCCTCAACGGATTTATGTCAGGAAAAAGCGAAATTCTTCCAGAAACCAATTTCTGTCAGAGTGATCTCCACGGTGACTTTAGCACAGACAAATTTTAACCGGAAGACACACTGTGTTCTGGGTGACCTTCTTTAGGGCTAATACAAGACAATACAGTAAACACTGATTACTGACAGCACAGACAATATTCCATGTATGAATTTTCATAACATTATCAAAATCTTTACTGTTTTCTCTAGCAATCCAGAGGGTAGACAACCACCTGAGAAAAAAAACATTCATCCAAGTTCTAGTACTTGTCTTCATGTGAACTGCCTTTCTAGTCTGCTCATGTTAGGTACTAGCCTGCCTGAGAGAATCCCTAGCAATTTTAACTGGAGATTTTTTATGAGCTCTCCACTTCTCAACACCAGCCAAATGTTGCAAAATTTGGCTTAGCTCTTAAAATAAATGGGTTTGCAAGGAGGAGTTTAGATCTACAGAGCAGAATCAATGTCCAAAGCTCAAGTATGTTCCTTAGCTCAGTCCTGCATTCCTTAAAGGAATCTGATTATTCATCATACAAAACAAGCTCAATCTACCAGAGAAAAATAATGTTTAACTTTGTCACTGTTCTCCTCTCAGGGGTCACTCTCACTGCAATCTGATGAAAGACAGCTTTCATGCACATGAGCTTCTGGGGACACATTAATAAAAGAACAAACAGCTACTTATTTAACCACAACTAGCCATCCAGAGAAACAGTTCCCAACTAATTCAAGTGTATGTGCACAACATGAAAGTCAAGGGGTATCTCATGCCAGTCTGATTTGTCTAACTGCTCTCGGAAAGAAGCTCAACTATAATCACTCTTTAAGTTACACAAAGCTCTTTCTGCCTCCTGCTACAATTTTTAGATATTAGAGAATGATCTAATTACAGAAGTAAAGTCTACATACCACTATGTAATATAAAAAAAATCTTGCTAATATGCAGCAGATGCACATAACAAATTTTGGTATTTAAAGGAGTTACTGCCTGTTTTAGAATAGCAACACTCAACTGATGAACATCTTTCATCTTTTCCTATTGGTTCAGACTACACAGCATGAGGACTTTGTCCTGACAGGACTTTCTCCTCTTTTTTCCTACCATGGGATACCAAGTCGAAAAAAAAGACTGTTCTTCATGCTTATGGTTTTCAAGGAGAAAATAACTACAAAAAGGTCAACTCCAAGCACAATTCACCAAACTACAGAATTTGATTTTGGCGTCTAGGATACCAAGGTTTCTTGGGAAAAAAACAAACAGCATTTGATGAGTCTCAAGTCATGTCCTTTGACTTCCAAATCGCCACAGACAGGACACAGCTTCTGAAAAGACTTATGTTTGGCTTGTGGCAGATTTAGGAAAATGATGTAGTCCTGAACATTTTTGCCACTGAAGAAAGTTAGAGGCCTACACCAAATATATTGGTGAAATTTACTCTTAAAAGACTAAATTCTAGTGATACGGCTTACCAAGAACCATTCCTCCCAAGAAAACTTGTGCTATCCACATGTTTTCTGCTCTCCTTCTCTAGTCACTGCTACTTCAAATTACAACAGTACGGACTGGCAAATTCAGGTTTATTTCAGTATTATCACTCACAACCCTCAAGGCAGCAATAAAGAAGCAAGAATTGTGTATTTTTATTTTTACTGGTCTGGAAGAAAGTCTTTCAGAATCCCAGATTCTTCCTTTTTCCAGCTATTCCTCTCTCAAGAGAGCCATCTGTAGGCGTGTCACTTCTGCTCATGAAAACAAGTTCAGAGATCAATTTCCTCTAGTTCCAAGACAGTTTGGAAGCACAAACCTGTATTAATAGCTCTCCTCCCATACTGGCAGCCACCTCTTCACTCTTCCTCACCAGGGTGGTTTTTCAAACTTCTCCAAGCATCTGCCATATCTATCACCACTTGATCTGGTTTCACCTGCTTCTTCCTCAAGCTTTAGGGCTCCAAATCCATTTAAATCACGTTTCAGATGAACAACTGACATGCTTAATTATCTTTAAGTTGTTTTAGGAGAATTCAATGACCATTTTTATGAATGCTGAACATTTTCCTAAGTATCTTTAGAAGAAAAATCCCAAATCAACATATACTGTCTTTGCTTCTTCCTGAAAATAGTTTGTTTCTGCTTGCAGAATTAAAGTGCACTGTGGCAGGTTTGGGACAAAACATAAGGCAAGCACTAAGCCAATGACTTGGGTCTATGTAACTGAAG